AGAAAGCAGGTATCTTTTCTTTTTTTAAGACTATGAAACCAACTACTATGTACAAATGCACATGTGCCAGTTTTTAAAAAGATGAAAATGCCAGGGAATTAGTAAGCCTGTTCTCCAAAGTATGTGACTGCTCAGACCCTGCATAATCTGCAAGCTTTTTAGAACTATTTTAGTAGGAGGTAGGAACACAAACTAGATTGGGTGTCTATCAACTGAAAATGGGTAAAGAAAATGTGGTTTATAGTTAGAATTTTTTTTTAGTCATGAAAAAGAACAAAGTTAGGGCATGGGTGACAGCTGTGGCAGTGTGCAAACTTGTCATGCATAATGCTCTAGGTTCAATTCCTGATACTGCCCCCAAATAGAATGAAGTTATGTTGTTCCAAGGAAAATGGATGCAATGGGAAATAATCATACTAAGCAAATTAAGTCAGTCTCAGAAAGACAAATACCATGTTTTCTCTCATTTGTGGGTCCCAGTTTTTATGTGGATACATAAATCATATACGTATATACACCAAAGGAGAAACAGAGCTGCCTAGGGAAATGAGAACTGATTGGAAAGAGTTCAGAAGGAAGTCAGTGACAGGCAGAATAATCCCTTTAAAGTTCTTGGTCAGGGGGTTCAAGAGACTCCCCAAACAATACAGGCTCTTACTCTTGCCCTTGGTGGCCTCCCAGAGGTTAACTGTAAGGCCCTAACACTGAAGATGCTGTGGGATGGTCTGTATGTCGTGTGTTGCTGATTGGTCAATAAATGAATCACTGATTGGCCAGTGGCCAGGCAGGAAGTATAGGCAGGACAAGGAGGAGAATAAAGCTGGGAAGTGGAAGGCTGAGTCAGAGACACTGCCAGCCACCACGATGAGAAACAGCATGTGAAGATGCCGGTAAGCCACAAGCCACGTGGCAGGGTATAGATTTATAGAAATGGATTAATTTAAGATATAAGAACAGTTAGTAAGAAGCCTGGTACAGCCATACAGTTTGTAAGCAATATAAGTCTCTGTGTTTACTTGGTTGGGTCCAAGCGGCTGTGGGACTGGCGGGTGAGAGAGATTTGTCCTGACTGTGGGCCAGGCAGGAAAACTTTAGCTACACTGAAGACATCAGACACTATGGACACAGGACTTGGAGGATATGAGCTGGATCTGACCTGAACCTGAGAACTAACCTTCATAGTCCCAGAAGGTGCTAATGTCAGCTGCCAAGGGAGGGAAGCAACCAATAGTTGAACCCAGCTGTGGAGCCTATGAACAATGACCAGCAAGGCAAGACATCCTTAAAGCTGCAATAGTGGCACTCATATCTTGGCAGTAACCAACAGCTGTATAATTAGATTTATGGCCTGCTCCACAGCAAGGAAATCATGTCTGGCACTGGAAACCTAGCCAACTAACTAGGGCTGGTGAGGTCATGGATCTTGGAGGAGAACCTACTACTGCTAGTTTACTAAACCAGCATAATTCCTAACTGCCTCCTAAATACTTATCTCCTTATCCACAAGTGTAGCTCCCAACCCTTAGCAAAGAAGCTTCTCTCTGGAATAGAGACCATTAAAGACCACAACTGGTCAAAATGCAGAAAACAACTGGTTGTGGGGTGCCGAGCCCCAGTGGATACATCGACAGACAATTCCTATACCTAAGGCTCAGGAATACCTCCAAAGAAGAGGAAGAAAGATTTTTAAGAACCAGAGGGCCAGGTGGTGGTGGCACACGCCTTTAATCCCATCACTTGGGGCAGAGGCAGATGGACCTCTGAGTTTGAGGTCAGTCTGGTCTACAGAGTGAATTCCAGGACAGCCAGAGCTACACAGAGAAACTCTGTTTCGAAAAACCAAAGGTGGGGGAGGGACCAGAGGACTAGGAAACCCTCTGCAAGACTGTGTCTTCTGGAACTAATAGGGCAGCTTCACCTAGTACACCCCAATAATATGGCTCCCTAAACAAGAGCAACAACAGGCATGGATGGGAATCTCCCAGGGCTGAACCCCAGCTTAGACAAAGAACTACAGACAACTAAGAGATGCTGAGAGCAGAAGTAATCTTCCCTCAGAGACGAGCCCCTTACCCAATACCAAGTGCCTAGTCCTGAAATTATGTACATGCACTGAAAAGACTCAGCAGGTTGTATTTATATATTTATACATGTGTGCGTGTGTTTGTAATAATAGCAATTTTTAAAAAGGAGGTCAGAGCCGGGCGGTGGTGGCGCACGCCTTTAATCCCAGCACTCGGGAGGCAGAGGCAGGCGGATCTCTGTGAGTTCGAGGCCAGCCTGGACTACAGAGTGAGTTCCAAGAAAGGCGCAAAGCTACACAGAGAAACCCTGTCTCGAAAAACCAAAAAAAAAAAAAAAAAAAAAAAAAGGAGGCCAGAAATTTGAAAGGGAAAAGATGGAAGGAAAAGTCCATAGGAGGAGTTGGAAAAAAGAAATGATGTAATTATATTTTAATAAAAATAATATGATACATTTAAGGATTAAGCCTTTGCAGATTAGGCACAGTATTGAGATTTAAAGTAAAATTTTGTTCCGTCAAGAAAAGTTATGTAAAGCTTAATACTTATTTCACTGAATTTTTAAAATGAAAAGGAGTTTGTGTTCATGTTATTATTTTTCTCAATAAACTTGCCTTAATTAAAAAAAAAAGAAAGGGTAAGATAGCAGGGTGAGGGGATATGTTCAAAGCACATTAAATACTTTCATGAAAATGGCCTTATGTAACCTACTATTTGATTAAAAATCTGACAAGGTTGAACCTATGATTCTAGGACTTGGGAGCCAGAGGTAGCAGACTCAAGTCAGCCTGGTCTACACAGGAAGTTCCAGGCCAACCCGGGATGTATAGCAGGTGCTGTCTCAAAACGACAATAACAAAATACATACTGATTTTGGAAAAAGGTATGTGTGTGGAAGGACAATGCCCATATAATCTCTAATCTACTGACAGATGTTTAATTGTTGAAGCAAAACTAAAGTTTTGTTTGTTCAGAAAAACAAAATCTTTAATCCTTCCTAAGAACCACTTCAGATGAGGCTATGGAGGAAAATAAGCAAGTTAGGACCTTGCACAGGAAAGCCAGATATGGTAGTTTCCTAATCCTAAAAAAAAATGCAGTACTTCCATCAAATTTTCTTTATGGCATAAAAATAGGCACATCAAAATTAGTTCTTGTCCTTCTTGCTTTGATATGACCTTCTCAGCTAATCCCATTGCTTTACCTGTCTGCAAGTATTGAAATCTCAATCTTGATTGGGAAATATCCTCAACCAAACATGATCCTGCAAGCTCACTCACAAGACAGCCTTAGTCAGTCTGAGCACCATCTTGGTTTGCTTTCAGGGTTTTTGAGAGAGAGTCTCGTCTGATCCAGACTGGCTTTGAACTCACAATGCTTCTGCCTCCCAAGTGCAGGGATTGTGATGTGTACCACCACGACAGACCCTGGGCGCTACTATCTTCATCCTAGTTTTTAGAGAAATTCTCAGAGAAGTTCTTAATATTTAAAGATAGAGGTTAGTGACTACTTGGTTAATTACTTTTGCCTGTATTGCAGGCATCTGACATGCATTTAACTTGAGGGTTTTTGTTTGTTTTTTAGTGGTGTGGTTTAATCTAGGCAAGTGTTCTACCAAGTTACACCCCTAGCCTTGCGTTTTGTGTGTGGCGGCTGGGTTTCACTCGGCAGCACAGACTGGCCTTCGTCTAGAATAGCATCCGTCCTCCTGTGTCAACCTCCCAAGTGTTGCTACTACAGGAGGGAGCCACCATATCTGGCTAATTCGAGAATATTACATTAGCCACTGCGAGCAAGATGTAGCAGCACATATCCACAATCAACACTCAGGAGGCAGGAGGAGGATGAATTCAAAGCCACCCTGGGCTACACAGTGAGTTCCATGTCAGCTGGGACTACTTAGCAAGATCCTATCTAAAAAGAAAGAAGAGAAAAAAATGTTCACTGCAGAGTACAATGACTTGATTTGGATATCAAAAAACATTTTTAAATTAAAAAATACAATTGTTTTTCAATTCATTACCCAGAAGCAAATTAAAGCTGGGTATGGTGGTATGTGTCTGCATATTAATAGGACGGGTACAAAAGAATCACTGCTCCAGTTTGAGGGCAGCCTGGGATGACCCCATCTCAAAACAAAGAACCACCTGCAAGTGTCCCAGTGTCCAATATATGACTAAACTCCTCTAAACCACACGTCCCAAAACAATAGCACTTATACAGACTCATTCTTTAAAGTATATTTATAATGTACTCAAGGTAGTATCTTTAATGTTATCAAATATTCTTGTTTCACAATTTAAATACATACCCTGTGTTTGTTAATAAAATAAATAAAATCTTTAGCACCTGAAGATGATTATTAAATTACCCTTCATCTCATCATATCTGTTCTAAGTTAATCTAAAATTCTTTGCTTTTCTTTACTATATACAATATTTTGAAAGCTCCTATTCTTTCATTTATTTTGAATATGTGGAGGTGTGGGGGTGAATGCGTGTGCATTCACACAGAGGCCAGAAGACTTCCGGTATCCTTCTCTATCAGTCTCCACCTCATTCTCTTCAGACAGGGTCTCTGTGAACCTGGAACTCAGCCGGTGGCCAGTAAGCCCCAGCAGTCAGCACTAGGGTTACAGGACCATGCAGACATGCTTGGCTTTTTAAAATGTGAATAATGGAGAGTTGAACTCACATGCTTGTACTTGAGCAGTAAGTGCTTTTACTGGTCAAGCCATTTCCCCAGTACCCCGAAACCTCAAATTCTTATATGCCCATTAGGAAAACAACTATTACATACATACAAAGGTAACTAAGAAAACTAGTTTAAACCACAACGATATAAAACAGCAACATGAGAGACATAATTATAATAATAAAGATCCATACTAATTACCATTCATATATGACTTACATACCAAGGTTCTGTGTTAGCATTTTAGAGCGACACACTCTAGAGCTTACACTACTTCACCCTTACCAGGGGACTTTCCTCGTGAGTTGCTTCTCCGCTCTCTGTATCTGACTGGAGTGGATAAGCCTGTGTCTTTACTAGGCTTGTTAGAAGGCCCCATCTCTGAAATAAGGAATCCCATTTGTTCTGAAGGCAAGACATTCTCCTGTGGATTGGCCTGGCATTTTATATTGCTATCCACCTAAAACATGAAACACACTTATTATTCTGATATTTACCCCAAATATCTACTAAAAGTTAATATACACTATCAGTGAAGTTCTATTATAGGAACAGGATCCTCCAAACATGTTTTCCTGCTTATGAAGAATATTACCGGGCTGGAGACATGGCTCAGTGGTTAAGAGCACTCACTTGCTGTTCTTCCAGAGGTCCTGAGTTCAATTCCCAGCAACCACATGGTGGCTCACAATCATCTGTAATGAGATCTGGCGCCCTCTTCTGGCCTGCAGGCATACATGCAGGCAGAACATGGTATACATAATAAATAAAATGTTAAAAAAAAAAAAGCTGGGTGGTGGTGGCGCACGCCTTTAATCCCAGCACTCGGGAGGCAGAGGCAGGCGGATCTCTGTGAGTTCGAGGCCAGTCTGGTCTACAAAGTGAGTTCCAGGAATGGCGCAAAACTACACAGAGAAACCCTGTCTCGAAAAACCAAAAAAAAAAAAAAAAAAAAAAAAAGAATATTACCCTTGATTGTGGTGACTTATCTAAATATTCAACAGTAAGACATACATTTTCCACATACTCAAGCCACTGAAATGCACATGAAACTAAAATACTTACTGATGAGTAAAGGAAGATTTACCATGTCTGGATGCTTTTTATGACTTACACTAGTAAGGCATTTTATACACACTTGGTGAAAACCTCTGTCTTTTTGCTTTAGTGTGTGTTTGAGTTGATGTCCCTTCCTAATTCATACCCTGGGATGGTCACAAATAGGCATGATCCTACTGGATAGTGTCAATGGGGAATGGACACTATTTTACTAATTTTATATTCTGTATATGCTTCAAACTATATATGCTTCATTCTCTATAAAATCTCTATCCATCCTGTTTATAAATGAATTTCTTTGATTCTAAAATGTTCTTTGGAATGTTAAAACCCTTTGTCAAAATAACCAGCTTCTGCCATGCTGCTCTTTATAATTTTATTTAGAATATAACTATATTATTAAAAAAAGCTAAAAGTTAAAATTTAGTTTTCAAAAAGAACTATGAGAGTCAAACATATTAAAGAAAACACTGTGTATATTCAATTTAAGACACGTAACCCAGTAGTACACATAACTATTAAGATACTAAATATTTTTATTTCTACAGGCATATTTAAAATATGAGACTATCTTTACTTAAATTATATCATCTTAGTACATTTTTTTTAAAAAAGATTTATTTATTATGTATACAGTGTTCTGCCTGCATGTATCCCTGCAAGCCAGAAGAGGGCACCAGATTGCATTACAGATGGTTGTGAGCTACCATGTGGTTGCTGGGAATTGAACTCAGGACCTCTGGAAAAGGAGCCAGTGCTCTTAACCCCTGAGCCATCTCTTCAGTCTGTTAGTACATATTTTAATAGTCTCAAAAAGGACAATGAATTGATAGAAATCTAAAGACATTAAGGATGGGGGTATAACCCAGTGCTACCTTGCGTAGGTATAAAATTGTATCAGCAGGGTATATCTTTCAGTATATCCAAATACAATAGCTTGACCAGATGGGCAAGGCCCTATATTCCATCCCAGTTAACACTACCACTACCACCACCACCGAAAAAAAAAAAAAAAAAAAAAAAAAGGCAGGGGAGAAAATGAAAATCTTTACACTTGAATATTATATACATTTAAGTATTTTAAAAAGAACTACATATAGTAAGACCCATCTAAACAAACAAACAAACAAAATGAATCATGTATGACGATGACACACGCCTGTTGTCCTAGCACCTGAGGGTAGAAGATCCAGAGTTCCAAGTCATTCTTGGCTAAAATGTGAATTCCTGGCCAGCACGGGCTACAGACTACATGACTTCTTGATTGTATACTGTAATTATAGATTTTTCTTATCTTCTTAAGAGTGAGTATCACACTGTTGATGTGGGATGGTCTATATGTCAAATGTGTTGCTGATTGGTCAATGAATAAATCACTGATTGGCAGTGGCCAGGCAGGAAGTATAGGCGGGACAAGGAGGAGAATAGAGCTGGGAAGTGGAAGGCTGAGTCAGAGAGACACTGCCAGCCGCCATCAGGATAAGGAAGATGTAAAGTACCGGTAAGCCACAAGCCACGTGGCAAGGTATAGATTTATAGAAATGGATTAATTTAAGCTGTAAGAACAGTTAGCAAGAAGCCTGCCACGGCCATACAGTTTGTAACCAATATAAGTCTCTGTGTTTATTTGATCGGGTTTAAGCGGCTTGGGACTGGCGGGTGAGAGAGATTTGTCCTGACTGTGGGCCAGGCAGGAAAACACTAGCAACACACTGTCACCCAGGCTGGCCTGGGACTTGTGGCACTCCTCCAACCTCAGCATCCCAAGGGCTGGGTTACTTTGGATATACTTTTGATTAACTAGTTTTTGTTTAATTGATTAGGAATGCAAGATTAATAAGAAATCTGAACCCAGTGAAATCAATAGAGTTTTGTGATGTTATAATAAAGTAAGAAATTGGGGCTGGGGAGATGGCTCTGCAGTTAAGAGCACTGGCTGTTGTTGCAGAGAACCCAGGTTCAATTCCCAGCACCTACATGGTGGTTCACAAACATCTGTAATTCCAGATCCTGGGGATCTGATACGTTCCCCTGACTTCCAAGGATATCAAGGAAACACATATGCAGGCGAAACACTCTTACATAACATAAAATGAATAAATAATTTTAAAAAGAAAGAAATGACCTGCAATTTTATCCTTCCTTCCACCTACAGATAGCTAAGGAAGTTATCATCTATGTCAAGCAGAACAGTCGTCTAGGTGGTGAAGTTATACCGGCAGGACATATCTTTTAGTGTACCCAAATTAAGGGACAGGACAAAACTCAAGGAACACCCAACATGGAAATATATTCTCTTTTTCAATTTTAGTTGTTTTTGAGATGAGGTCTATCTATATAGTCCAGGCTGGCCTTGAACTCACTATATAGCTCAGCGTTTCCTCAAGCTCCCAGCAACCCTCCTACTTCCACCTCTTAAGTGCTGGGATATAGGCAAGTGGCACCAGGCTACAAATAGTATTTAGACCCTATTCAATCAATCTGATTGCCTATCTAGAGGTTCATTTCAGACTATACCACAGTTGGAGGATGGCTAGGGTTAAAGTAACTTCCTCTTAATTTTTTTTCTTATCCATTATGACACAATCCCTTTAGAAACCAGTGAATTGATATTAAATGATGCAAATAACATCTAGACAAACTCTTGACTAACATCTTTAGCAAGAAGCACTGTGTACTGTGAGCCTAGTTAATAGTCTTATTTGTATCCTTACCTGCTGTGTGCTGAACGGTAGCCCTTCCTGCACAAATACTACTGAGGACGGGGATGGATTATGATTTAGCTGCTCCTTCAGTTTGACATGCGTTTGCTGGATGGTTGCAGACTCCTGTATTGTGCTGTTTTCCAAAGGCTGAGCTGTGTGGATGGTATAGATGTACTCAGGTGACTGTGGTAGAGAGCAGGTGATTGCTTGTTCTGTTCCAACCACAAAAGATGTGATATCTGAGCCTACAGGAGTAAGTGGCTCCAGCTGGCTAGCCTGACTTGTGGAAGAGGGGTTGCTGCTGTTGGAGTTAGGTAAGATGTGCTGGCCTCTGTTAGACTGAGATGATGGACACTGGTGCTCCACAGGCTCCACCTTTACCATCTCCAGTTTAGGGGAAGAATGCAGCTCATCGACTATTTGAAAGACAGCCTCCAGGTTTACTTCTGCCTTTTTGTTCTCATCAGTGGTACTGCAGGGCCAATTGGAAGGCAGAAATTCAACCGGATAGGAAGATTGCATTGGAGGATTCTGGGAAGAGAGAAGATAGAACTGTTTAGATAGAAAATCAAGTACACAATTAAGGAGGAAAGTAGTAACATCTAAGTTCGTGAATGCTTAATACAGTAAACTTGAGCTCACTACCAAACCCTGAAAGTGGGGCCAGCAATGTAGCTCAATGGTAGAGCAATGCCTAGCATACTCAGGCCTAGGTTCAGTTACCAGCATCAGAGAAGAAACAAAGAAAACCTGAAGGTTAATTTGCTTTTCAGCAGTGATAGCTTCAAATGTGTTATGAATAACATTTGCTTAATATATATTATATATCAAACACACAAGTTTAGTCCTGGAATGGACTGCTAATTCTCAGGATTAAAAAAAAAAATACAAAAAGGCTATAGTACCCAAATACCTATCTGCTGACAAAATGTCGATATACTACATCCTCCATGAAGGCTGACAAAATGTCACTTTCATTTCTCATGCACTATTTTAAGGAGTAAGAGTATTTTAAACACAGAATAAATCCTTGTACACATTCAGGGGGAGGCACTAATACTCACTTACAAATAACCTGGATAAAAATGGATGGAATGTCAAATATCCTTTGGTTCCTGAGATTGTTTTTAAAAATAAAGCAATAGACTAAGAGTGTGGCTTTTAGATTTACATCTTTAAGATATATTCTCTTAACAGAGTGTGATGGAGTACACTTTGAATCCCAGCATTTGGGAAACAGAGACAGGAGATCACCACAAGTTTGAGTCCAGCCTGATCTACACAGTAAGTTTCAGGACATCCAGGGCTACACAGATAGACCATGTTTCAAAAAAAATTTTAAAGGTATGTTCTTATAAATAGTGCTTTAGGGCTGGAGAGATGGCTCAGGGGTTAAGAGCACTGGCTGCTCCTCCAGAGGTCCTGAGTTCAATTCCCAGCAACTACATGGTGGCTCACAACCATCTATAATGAGATCTGTGCCCTCTTCTGCCTTGCAGACAAACATGCAGACAGAACAGTGTATACATAATAAAGAAATAAAGCTTTAAAAAATAGTAAATAAATAAGTAGTGCTTTGACATTCAATAGATGCCATATTATTTCAGATTATAAACAGAAATGCAGAAGAGCTATAATTAAATAAAAGATATGAGTTTATATTGTTGAACATACTACAAGGATTGTGTTGATGTTTAGAGTAAATAATGTGAACTCAAGTAGTATAAGCATCAAGTTATCATAGTCAATATCATCATTTGATATCTTAAGTAGGTGCCAAACACACGCTAAGTGCTTTACAGACATTACTTCATTTAATCCTCAAAAGCCCTATGAAATGTGATGCTCTTCACTCATTTTTATTAATTTATTTTTGAGAGAGGGACTTACACATCTAAGGCTGGCCTCAAACTTCCTAAAGAACTGAGGATGACCTTGAACTTCTGACCTTCTTACTTCCACCTGTACTAAGGTTACAGTCATGTGACTCACACCCTGTTTATAAGGTCCTAATCAAACCTAGGGATTCACGAATCCCAGGCAAGCACTCTGCCAACTAAACTACACCCTCAGTCCAGTGATTTCCATTTCAAAATGATAAAATCATTTAAATATTTATTTATTATTGTGGTGGGTGGTGTGTGTGCCACTGCATGCATGTGAAAATCAGAGGGCAGCCTGTGAGTCTGCTCTCTCTTTCCACCTTCACATGGGCTCTGGGACTCAAATCCAGGTCATCAGGCTTGCACTGAACTGTCCTGCTTGCTTGCTTGCTTGCTTGCTTAGTTTTTTGTTTTGAGACAGGATCTTGATACATAGCCCAGGCTAGCCTGGAACTCACTATATAGCCCAGGCTGTTCTTTAACTTGAAGCCTCCTGCCTCTATCCTTCTGGGTGTTGAAATTACAGGAACGTGGAACCATGCCTAGCTAAACACTGATGTTGAAATAGCTGACAGAGTCAGGGTCCAAGCTTAGGTTTGCCTGACTTCTGCTATTAACCATGGCAAGAAACTGATCTTTTTTCCTCCAGAATTTTTTATTTACGTGTGTGTGTGTGTGTGTGTGTGTGTGTGTGTGTGTGTGTACACGCTCTTGTGTGCATTCTAGTGGCACCAATGTGTGCATATGGAGGTTGAAAGACAACTTGTAGGAGTCTGTTATTATCTCCTTCCCCCAGAAGGGCCCTGGGGATAGAACTCACGTAGTCTAATTTGGTGGCAAGCACCGTTACCTGCTGAGACATCTTGCTGGCCAGTCCCAGACTGACTTCTCATGCATACCCTCCCTAGTGCCAACAATGCCACCAAATTTATCACATAGATTTTTTGTTTTGTTTTGTTTTCACTTTTCTATGCAGGGTTTCTCTGTGTAACAGTCCTGGCTGTCCTGGAACTCGCTCTGTAGACCAGGCTGGCCTTGAACTCACAGAGATCCTCTGCCTCCCAAGTGCTGGGATTAAAGACATATGCCACTACATCTGGTACTTACTATATTGAAAAAAATCAATGGAATCTTAAATTGCTTTGTGTTTTGCTACTTTTTAATCTTATGCATACCTATTTCCATTTTCCTAAGATTAACATGTATTGTCATTGTGTACAGTAAGAAATGTTTATAAAAATGTTCAAATAGGGGGCTGGAGAGATGGCTCAGAGGTTAAGAGCACTGGCTGCCCTTCCAGAGGTCCTGAGTTCAATTCCCAGCAACCACATGGTGGCTCACCATCATCTGTAATGAGGTCTGGTGTCCTTTTCTGGCCTAAAGGGATACATGCAAGCAGGACACTGTATACATAATAAATAAATAAATCTTTTAAAAAAATGTTCAAATAATACATTTACAATTTGAACAAGACAAACACCATCAGTATATTTCTAGCATTCTCTGGAGAAAAGAGTACATTTACAAACAAGAGCATCTAGTTATGGATTAAGTACACCCCTTTAAAGAAGATGGGCTTAAGGCATCATGTCTGATGATACTGGCCCTAAAAAATGGCCAACTAGGGGGCTGGGGAGAGGAGGGCTCAGTGGTTAACAGCACTGGCTGCTCCCTCCAAAAGTCCTGAGTTCATTTCCCAGCAACCACATGGTGGCTCACAACCACTTATAATGGGATCTGATGCCCTCTTCTGGCATAAAATTGTACATGCAGATAGAGCACTCATACATAAAGTAAATAAATAAATCTTTTTTAAAAATGGCCAACTAAAGGCCGGGTGGTGGTGGTGCAAACCTTTAATCCCAGCACTCAGGAGGCAGAGGCAGGCGGATCTCTGTGAGTTCGAGGCCAGCCTGTTCTACAGAGTGAGATCCAGGACAGCCAGGACTACACAGAGAATCACAAACAAACAAAACAGCCAACTAAGTCAAATGTGCCAACACCTGTAACCCCAGCATGCAGGAGGATGAGTGATTCTCATGAATTCAAAGCTAGCCTGGGCTACATACAGCTCCAGGACAGCATAGGCTATATAGATGGAAACCTTATCTTAAAAAGAAAGGAAGGAAGGAAGGAAGGAAGGAAGAGAGAAAGAAAGAAGACAAAGTTAGCTAATTCATCTTTATCAGACTGTATATTCTTCAAAAAACAGTCTGATTATCTACTTCCCATGTTTTCTATAAAAAATAAAAATAAAAGGAATGTCTTTTGGTGTACCCTAATGCCACTAACAAAATATTCTCTTGGGCTGGTGGTAGTGTTTGCCTAACACATGAAGTCCTGGTTCAATCCCCAGCACTGCAACACACACACACACACACACACACAAACACACACACACACACACACACACACACACACACACACACACACACACACACACACGGGTGTGTGTGTGCACGTTCACAAAAATTCTCTTAGAAGCAAAGCTATCTTAGCAGATTATTATCTGGGCAAACACACAATTCCACTTTAAGAATTATAGCACTAAATGCATAGCATACAATCTATTCTTATTCTAAAAACATCAATATAAACCATTTATATCAAAGCAGCTATTTCCTAAGAAATACTGACAAGACATTTGAAGTACGGTGTTCATAACATGCATGCTAAGACTGAAGGGGCCAGCGATTAAATTTCTCATTTTGGATACCCTGGGTTTCTCTGGTATTCCTTATTCTGAAAGAGCCTAGAACAGCACAATACAAAATAGTTGTCAGCAGTGATGTGAGCACTGCATTTCTCTGCTGCAGTTTTATGGCCACTAACCACAAGACTACTTAATAAATGGAATGAAGTGTGACTATGGAAAGTTTTAAATTTTCATTTTTTTTTTCCAGTACTGAGGACTAAACCCAGGGCCCTGTGCATGACAAGCAAGTGCTCTACTACTGGCCTAAATTCCTAACCCAGTAATTTAAAGTTAAAAGGTCACATGTGAGCTGGGCTTGGTGGTATACACATCTGTGGTCCAACATTAAGGTGGAGACATAAGGATCATGAATTTGAGACCAGTTTTGCTTATATAGCAAGACCCTGTCTCAAAAAAGGAAAGTCCAGAAACAAAAAGGCTACATGAAGCTAATGGTGCCTACACTGGACCATGCTAGCCAAGAATAACACTCAGGCATCATTCACATCACACTCTGCCCACAAACCCAGCTTATTTCTGGCTTCTACTTGGAAAATCTGTCAAATTAATAGTATTGCCAAGCACAGTGTGTGCAAGGATCTTACCTGGAAGTAGTTAGTGTGCAAGGATCTTACCTGGAAGTAGTTACAGTGTGCGTAGGAAGAGGCAGTAGGGGTGACACAGCCACTCAGGGCATCCATGTGAGTGGAAGGAGAACAGCACTGTAGCACAGCTGGAACAGATTCAGAAACAAACAAACAAACAAACGAGCCGTCAACCAAAGAAACCAGAGCATGCAAAGAACTTCACGTTACACACACACACACACACACACACACACACACACACACACACACAAGGGTGCTGTTGATTGCTTTAAAAACATGGTCATATAATAAACTGAAATGTTTTATCTATTGGTTTTTTTTTTTTTTTTTTTTTTGGTTTTTCGAGACAGGGTTTCTCTGTGTAGCTTTGCGCCTTTCCTGGAACTCGCTTTGGAGACCAGGCTGGCCTCGAACTCACAGAGATCCGCCTGGCTCTGCCTCCCGAGTGCTGGGACTAAAGGCGTGCGCCACCACCGCCCGGCTTATCTATTGGTTTTTGAGACAAGGTCTTGATGTATCTCCCTGGCTGACCGTGACCTCCCAGGATCCTCTTAGCTCTCTTCCTCTTGAGCTGGGCTTATGTGTGTACCTATACCTGGCTGTAATAAAATTGCAAAAGTTTCTATTTTTGTAATTTCTTTTTTGTTGTTGTTTTGAGACAGGGTCTCACGCAGCCCAGGCTGGCCAAAAACTCACTCTGTATCTGAAGATGACCATGAACTCATGACCCTCCTGCCTCTACCTCTCAAGTGCTGGATTACAGGTGTGAGCTACCTCACCTAGTTTATGTAAGCCCAGGGGATCAAGCCTAGGGCTCTATGTACAGGAGGCAGGTATCTACCAACCACACTCCATCCCCAGCCACTAAGTGATTCTTTAGTGCTTAAGCTTACTGTTACTTTTCTAACCAAATGTTTATTATTACTGAAAGTAATTTCATTTCACTAAAGTCAGCAAACTATTATTTGTAGTTCCTAAATAATTGCTTCATTGTTTTAACTGCTATTTGGAGAGGGAAGTGCTTTTAAAGTAAAATAAATAAATATATTCTCTAATCTACCCATATATGATGTGTTTAATAGAGAAACATGCAAAACATATTTTTTGCCATTTAGACAAGCGGTTAGGAATGTGGATCCTGGATTCAGCCTGCCTGGTTTTGTAGCCTGGCTCCATGATTAGGTATTTTATAAATCTGAACTTGGTTAATCACTTCAGGTCTCAGTGTTTGCATTCTATTAAAACATGGACATAACAGAACCTGCTAACATGATGTTTCAAGGAACAATGTAATGAACTAGCATACACAGAACACTCAGAATAGTAATGACAGCAATCAATAAATGTCAGCAGTCAATATTTTAATAAAAAATGTGTAGTACTAGATAACAAACTCAAAACTCTATTTTGCAAACCTTTTCTTTATGGTTAAGACACCATGAACAGGTCAAACTCTTTATACTGGAACAGGTAACTTAAAGGTGTCCAGTCAGTTTACTAGACTGAGCTCTTTTCTAAAGAGAGTCTCTCACACCTTTGGGGCAAACAGCAGATGATATGTTTTGAGTGCCCACCATGCTTCAGACACAATGGTGGATGCTTCATATGCATTTTTATCATACCAATCAGACTAACATTACTTTACAAAGTAAGTAACTAAAACTCAGAGATAGTAAGAAATTCGCCAACAGTAGCAAGGCTGGATGTTCTAGCATGGACTCATTTTTTCCTATACTTGAGAGAATAAAGATGCTTGGAAATAAAGTGCATCCATAAATAGCTAACTATGGAGTACCCGCAGGAGGGTCAAAACCGAAGAAAGGACTTTTCCCCTTCATTTATTACTAAGGAAAACCTAGCCCCCTAGTGGCAGACCTAGTCAAGAGCTGCAGGTTATTGTTTCCAAATTGTACTGAAAAGCAATGCTTCATTATAAATAAACCAATGCAAAGATTACATTTATTTTTCTAATATTTCAGTAGTATGACTCTCCTGTTTAAATATTTTGAATGTTAAAATGTTCTCTAAAATAAATTTGTTGGAGAAATAAAAGTACAATATAGCTCAGAGAATGTCATTATAATATAGAGTTGATAGCTGATTTTTGTGTGTAAGAACACAGTAAACCATTAGGTGCTATTCGTGTGTCCAGTAAGAGATGAGAAACAGAACAGAAAGGAGAGCCTGTGAAGTTACACTCTCCAAAGACTCCTGCTTACCAGGCAGCCCACTCTGCACCGTCAAATAACAGAATAGAATGTGGTATTAGCAAGTATGTGGTATAGGAATATCTAGGTGCCAAAATCCAAGTTTGTGCTTAGTTTTTGAAAAATTAATGTACTGTGTATCATGAAAACAGTAACATGTTGCTCTTTTCTGCTCTTTTGGAGGCCCACCACCCAGCTCCCAAATAAATCACACATGGAGGTTTATTATTACTTATAAATGCCCTGCCTGACCTTAGCTTGGCTTATTTCTAGCTAGCTTTCCTTAACTTTAAATTATCCAGTTTATCTTTTGCCTCTGGGCTTTTGTCCTTTTCTGTTCCTGTACACCTTTGTTCCTTACTCCGTGGCTTGCTGTGTAGCTGGGTGGCTGACCGCTGGAGCCCTCCTCCTTCTCTGGTTACTTCTCTCTTCCTTCCATCCAGATTTCTCCCTCTATTTATCCTCTCTGTCTGCCAGCCCCACCTATCCCTCTCCTGCCCAGCTATTGGCCAGTCAGTTCTTTATTAGACCATCAGGTGTTTTAGCCAGGCACAGTAACAAGCTTCACAGAGTTAAACAAATGCAACATAAACAAAAGTAACACACTTAAAATACTCTCCCCAACAATATCATTATGAAACCAAATTATCCCTGTGTCCTAAGACACACTCTTCCGTAGAAAGATCTTGCTTTGTCTTCCTCAAGGCAGTGCTCACTTAAGGCACTCAGCTCCCCGTGTAAGAAAAAGTGTAGTCTGTGATGGTGGCACACACTTTTAATCCTAGCACTCAAGAGGCAGAGGCAAGGGGATCTCAGTGAGTCTGAGGCCAGTTTGGTCTACAAAGTGAGTTACAGGACAGCCAAGACTACAAAGAGAAACCCTGTCTTGAAAAAAAAAAAAACCCAAAAAGGAAAGAAAAAAATGTAAATAACAAACTAGAATTCACCTCACATGCAAATGTAAGAGTAGAAGGCATTTTACAATTTCTCAGTAATAAACATTCAGATTATAAAAACCATTGCCCTCATTGTAGGTGAGGCAAACACATCTGCACTTTATCCTATGGAAATATCTTTTTTGTTTTGTTTTCTTTTTCGAGACAGGGTTTCTCTGTGTAATAACCCTGGCTGTCCTAGATCTCACTTTGTAGTCCAGGCTGGGCTCCAACTCACAGAGATCCACCTGCCTCTGCCTCTGGAATGCTGGGATTAAAGGCATGCACCACCATCGCCCAGCTCTATGGAAATAATTTAAACATATATTATTTCAGATTTGAATCTACTCCAGGGCAGCACAGTGTTAATAGTGAGAGAATGTCCAGTCATATAAATGCTCAAAAGAAACAGTAGATTTAATAATACACTCAGTTTCAAGATTAAGTTACTATAGCAACTAAAGTTCTAATATCTCATTCCTGATGAAGAAAAGCCCCCCTGGGAATACAGCCCTTTATAATCTTTCAACTTTACAATGGTATAAAGGTGATAATGCATTCAGTATAAACCATACACTGACCTTATCTGTTCCACAGCTCATCACTCCTGAGATCATGGGGCAGCAACAGCTCCCAACATCCGGTACCCTAGAATACCCTACTACTAAACTCTGAAAGTTCTGAATGTTAGCTGAATCAAGTGCATTTTAGTATACCTTCAACTTGCAATGGGTTATAGAACATATTGGCATAGCCTGATCCTAAGTGGACCTGCATCTGTATACCCAAAATAAATGAAAGTTAGGAATATGAATTTTTTGCTTTTGTTTTGTTTGTTTTCTGAAACAGGGTTTCTCTGTGAAACAGCCCTGGCTGTCCTGGAACTCAGAGATCCTCCTGCCTCTGCCTCCTGAGTGCTGGGATTAAAGGCGTGCACCATCACTGCCTACCCTGAAAAAATATTTTTAAGTTGGGCATAGTAATGCAAAGCTGAACTTTCAACACTCAGGAATCTCAGGAGGGAGGACTTCGAGTTTGAAGCTAACCTGGGATACACAGCAATATCCTGTCTCAAAAGACGTTCTATGCCCATGTTCAGAGTAGCAATAGTCTACAAAAGTGGAAGCAACCTAGAGCCCTTCAACAGACAAATGAATAAATACTGATACCTGTATGTGTAATTATTCATCATCTTTAGAAAGGGAAATTTGACACATACTACAAAGTGGATGAACCTTTAAGATATGATGAGGCTGGTCAGTGGTGGCGCACACCTTTAATCCCAGAACTCGGGAGGCAGAGCCAGGCAGATCTAGTTCAAGGTCAGCAGGTCTATAAATCGAGTTTCAGGACAGGACAGCCAGGGCTGTTACACAGAGAAACCCTGTCTTGGAAAAACAAACAAACAAACAAACAAACCCAATGAGAGCCTTTAATCCCAGCACTTGGGAGGCAGAGGCGGCAGACCTCTGTGAGTTCCAGGCCAACCAGAGCCACAACATGAGAAACTATTTCAAATAATAATGATGGTAATGATGATTATAAGCAATTCTTTTGCCCAAGGACTAATTCAAATACAATTTTAAATAATGAAAAATATTTTTAAATTAAAAATATTCAAATACTTTATGTATCTTGTATTTCAAGATTTTATTTTAATGATGTATACATCTTTTTTTTTTTTTTTTTTTTTTTTTGGTTTTTTCGAGACAGGGTTTCTCTGTGTAGCTTTGCGCCTTTTCCTGGAACTCACTTGGTAGCCCAGGCTGGCCTCGAACTCACAGAGATCCGCCTGGCTCTGCCTCCCGAGTGCTGGGATTAAAGGCGTGCGCCACCACCGCCCGGCGATGTATACATCTTCATGTGGGTTTTTATATATGAGTGCAGGTGCCCATGGAGGCCAATAGAGAGCGCTGGGTCCCCTGGAGCTGGAGTTACAGGCATTTATAGACTGACTCTGAGCCATCTCTCCAGGCCCCAAAG